AGATCCCCAGGTTTTTTTGCCCTTGTACTCACACTTGAAAATTTAAAAGTATATTTACAAGTGTCACTACAAATGGCTACTATGGGCCTTTCCTATACACAGAACAGGCCCACTGACAAAGCCTTGGCATATCAGATGTTGGCCACCCTCCCCTTCTTTACTTAACGTGGTCTTGCTTTGGGTAGGCAGTCACAAAGCACAACTTCAGCCACCCATCAGATTTATCAGGTGCATCCTAAGAAGTACTTTTAAATAATGTTTTAATGTAAAAAAAACGGTCAGGTGCGGAACAGCCCCCCCCCCCCCAGCACGAGGATAAATGTCCACAAACTCAGGGCCACACCTTACAGGTGCTCTATTAACCCACACTTGTTATCTAGGGACTGAGCTGTGAATTCAGATTTTACCTGAAATGCAGTATATATGTATAACTGTGTTATACATTACTCCAAGATGATGAATGTGGAACGGTTTGGAAATTTTAAAGTGCTAGATAGGTGATAATATGTAATATTTTTATGTCTGTCTCCATAATTTTTCTGTGCATTCAGATCTTTATACATTGTAACAGCCCATTAAACGTTGCAGGACTTCAGTCACTCTACTGCAGTATACTTATTAGCTCCTGTATGGCTTTAAAAAAAATGAACTGCAGAATAACAAAAAGTTTGAAGAAAAAGTATTTGTCCTCTTTCACATTTCCTGAATATTTGTAGATCTTTACCCCTGAATGTAACCAGAGCTTTCTATAGGCCCAACTGATAGAAAACCTGACCAAATAAAAAGCACCAAAACTTGCTGATTGTTTCACTTATTACACAAATAAATCAATTTGCAGTATACTGGTGTAAAAAAGTAATAATTCTCCAAATTCAAGGAATTTATAAGTCTGTATCATTTCCACAAAATGAGATTTTTTTTTATGCCCCTCAATCCATAGAAAGTTACAAAAACAATTCTACAGTTGTGAGGCTCCACCAGTTCAAAGATGGAGAAGATAGCAAAGAACTTTCCCCAAAGTTGTTGTTCTGTCAAAATCACCCCAACTGCAGGGGATTAAAATAATCTAGAAAATATAAGAAGCCCCAGCGCAGTGGTGGGATTCAAAAATTTTTACTACCGGTTCTGTGGGCATTGATTTGTGGGGCGTGGCATAGGAAGGATACTGCAAAATCCCTATTCCCTCCCCACCCCACTAATCTGCTTTCCAGCTCTGTTCTCCTGTTCAGGGCACCAAAAGAAGATCAGCTGGGAGGCAGCGGGGGCGGGGCCAGCCTATTTGCTGGTTCTTCGAACTACTCAAAATTTCCACTGCTGATTTTCCAGAACCTGTCAGAAGGTTTCAAGGAAAGTTAAAAAGGCACAAGATGTAGGATATGTAGGAGAGGTCAAATGTGTTATAAGTCAGGAATCCCTTCGTGCCCACAAAAGATATTAAGTCTAGCCCACCTTGAATTCCCTAGATTAATGTCAAGAGCCCAGGAAATCAGGAGATTCAGGCAGTTCAAATGAGTATAAATATTTATTGCAAGCTTAAGTTGTCTACAAGAATCTGGCCATTAGGGAAATGCATGTGAGTTAAGAATAGAAAGGAATTCAAGGTGGGCTGAACTTAGAACTCTTGCGGGCATGAAGGGACTCCTAACATGACGTGTTTGACCCCTTTCCTCAGGTTTAGCTTAGTCATCTCCTACAGAAATCATTGTTCATTAAAATATTATTGTTCATCTCAAGTTTGCCCCAAAGCTCCTGGAGTATACATATATAGACTGATGAAGCAAAAGTGGAACTTTGTGGGCTAGATAGGCATCATTGTGTTTCATGGAAAGCAGTCAAAATTTCATGCCAGCTTTCAAGTAGTTCCATAGTTTGGATACACTCTGTTGATTTAGTGCCTGGATGATGTACAACACAACAGAACCATGAAATATACTTTATCAGGAAATTTTATAGGAAAGTATCAAGTCACTGCACCACACAACTATTGTGGTGTCGCGGTAGTTGGAATGCAGTATTGTAGGCTAATTCTGCTGACTGCTGGGTGCCAGCAGTATGGCAGTTTGAGTCTCACTGGCTCAAAGTTGACTCAGTCTTCCATGCTTACAAGGTTGATAAAATGAAGAGCCAGATTGTTGGGGGCAATAGGCTGACTCTGTAAACAGCCTAGAAAGCGCTCTGAAGCACCGTGAAGCAGTATATAAGTCTAAGTGCTATTACTATTGCTAGGATGTTGGAATGGTCAAGTGAGAATCAGACACAAATCTCAGTGGGAGAACCTGAAACAAGCAGTTTCTGCTGGAAAACCCTCAATATTGCTAAGTTGGACATGGATCAGTGAAGCAAAATTATTACGCAAGGTGTGAGAGACTAATAACAGATAGGATTATCTGTTAATCTAATTAGAGTAATGTAAAAAAGAGGCATATCATATTACTGAATCAAAGTAGGGAATTACTGTACTTTTTCAAACTGGCACATATGTGGGATGACTTTGTTTCTGAAATGAATGGAAAAAGTACCACACTTTGGCCACTTAGATTCCTTTTATAAAATAGTAGGACCTATATAGGGGTGGGTTCTGGCCGGCTTTACTGCTGGTTCACTCGTGTGTGTGCACGCACAGAACTCAAACACAAGATGGTGGTAGTAACGATGGCAACCAGAGAACCAGTTCAGGGACGTGACAAGTCTGGTCGCTGCCAGTTCCGGCAACCCAGGCCTCCATATCACTTACCTGTTCACGCAAACCGGTAGGAACCCATCCCTGGACCTTTATGAAAATTAAAAAATGGGGAAAATACTTTTTCAGGGAAACTATATATGCTAGTGGTTTGCAGAGCAAGTTTACAGTTGAATAAATCCCTTTTAAAATTTTGTGTATGATGCTTATTTTTATCGATGAAGAAAAGCTTAAATCTATTCTAGAAGCTTGAATTTCCAGTCTTTTGTGTTTTATAATTTCTGAAAACTTAAAATTCCAAAGATGTAAGGATAAAGGAAAGAACCATGAGGTTAATATATTCGTGTCTCTTTCATTCCCCTCCTACATTTAATAAATACCCTGCTTCTGTTTTTTTCTGTTTCCAACGTAATGTGAAATATTGTGAAGAAACTGCCAACAATTTCTTAATGAAATTTGATGCTTCTATAAGTTATGTTTAATTAAAATTGTGAAAATATAGCTTTCACGAACCTGATAAACATATTGCTCGAGTCCCATCTTTTTTGACTAAGCTGAGGATTCAAGCTTCATATTCTCACACAATGTAAAACTTTTAGTATTGGGCTTAAGTTATGTTATTAAATCCTTGGATTAAGTGAGAAAGCATACCTATGTGAATCTTGCCAACAGCCTCCAGTTTAAATAATCCAAATTCATATCAGCGCTATTGCAATAAAATATATTTACAAATTAATCCCGTTGCTCTATTAATTATTTGTGTAATTACTGCAATTCTTCCCACCTTGTTTTCAGTATTTCTTAATCATTAAGCCGGAAGCCTGACAGCAGTGCCAGCCCTGGCATGATTCTTTTTGACTAAAACCTTGTAAATTAACACAATTAGCACAGCATCATGCTGCTAATTAACTTCCTGTGTCTGGTACAGCGGATGTGCAAACAAGGAATAGGGATTCAGCAGGGAATAAACATGCCACTCTGTTGCCAAACTGTATGTTGTGTTCGGTCTAGCTCAGCAGGGCTAAGACAGTCCTGCCAAGATGCTGGAGTTGGGCAAAGAAGAGCTAAAGGAAGAAGAAGAAGAAGCGCAAAATAGGAAGCGTATTAGGCTGTAAACGAAAGATAGTAGTAATTTATCAGAGAAACTCTGCCATCCATGTTTGATGTATAACATGCCTTTTTATCTGAGCATCTGCTCCAAGTAATATCAAAGGAAGGATGGAAGGGAGGAGAAAAGGAAGGAAAGAGTGAAGATTAGGCTGAACAAGTCTAGAGATGGTAAGATGAGATAAGATAAGATAAGATAAGATGATAAACTTTATTGCCACTTTTTTCCTGGGAAATGACACACCTTAAAAAATGAAATTCTGATGCCTGAACTTTGTCCCATTGTGCCTCTCCCCCCCCCAAAAAAAAAACTTTTAATAATTTACTTAACATTTATTTCTCTTTTCTCCTGCCCCTCTTCCCATTCCCTATCGGTTTGGAGGGAATTGGAAGAGAATGGAAGGAGAAAGAACATAGACAAGTGTTTCTGGGCTTTGCTCTTTCCACCCCACCCACCCACCTTTGCCTGTTTCCTTCCAGAGCCTCTACAACAGGACTCTTAACGCAGAGAGCAATCCGTTGTAATTCATACCGAGTTGTAGGCTTTGTGTGATGAAAGCAATGGAGCGCTGCCTGGGAGATTGCTTTGCTGCACTCCACGAAGCAGATTTGAAACTGTCATGGACCACTTTAGATGAGAGTTGGATTATGGAGTGACCTGCTATGCCTGTGTCATATTGTTCTGCGCAGGGTGCATTATACTGTGCTAACTAGGAGTTCAGTACCAAAGAAAGGTATCCTAGATGTGATTTGTCAGCTGTAGCTTATGGAAAGTTTTTTTCCCCCCTCCTCCATTAAAATTTAAAAGTGCAATAAGGGAAGATGGTATGCTTTAGATATCAAAGAAGATATTATCTAATAGCAGGTCCATGCTTGGGATAGGAAGAAGGTCCATGTGCGACCTTTTAAAACAAATCCAGCTGGATAAAATAATTTCTTCGACTCTCTCTCTCTCTCCCTTCCAAGTTAGAGAAACACATTAGAAGGGTGGCTGTATCCTTTCCCCCCCCCCTTCTTCTTCAAGAAAATGAATCACTGGCAGTAGTCTTTTTTCTTCTTTTGATAGATAATTTGCATGTGATCTGTTGATTTCAACCTCACAATTCTGCATATAAATGAAGAAATCGAGAGTTGATACGCTCAGATATCGTTGCACTTGTCTTTTTTTCATCTAATTGCTAATTTTGCTTTTCCTCCCTCCCAAACCCCTCAGGCTTGAAGATGCAGTGGACGCCAGAACATGCCCAGTGGCCAGAGCAGCACTTTGACATCACTTCGACCACCCGCTCTCCCGCCCACAAGGTAGAAGCTTACCGTGGCCATCTTCAGCGTACCTATCAGTATGCCTGGGCGAACGATGACATCTCTGCTCTCACAGCCTCAAATCTGCTAAAGAAATATGCAGAAAAGTATTCCGGCATTTTGGAAGGGCCAGCCGAACGCCCCATCCTGGGTAACTATGTGGAGCCTCCATCAGGGCTGGTGAATGGTCGCAAAAGCGAAAGTGAGCCCTGGCAGCCTTCTCTGAACTCTGAGAGTGTTTATCCTATGAACTGTGTCCCAGATGTTATTACCGCTAGCAAAGCTGGAGTAAGTACTGCCCTCCCTCCGGCGGATGTCTCTGCCAGTATAGGGAGCTCACCTGGGGTGGCTAGCAACCTGACGGAACCTAGTTATTCAAGTAGTACGTGCGGAAGTCATACAGTCCCTAGTCTGCATTCAGGGCTCCCATCTCAGGAATATGCCGCAGGGTATAACGGATCATACCTGCATACAAGTTACAGTGGCCAGCCAGCACCTGCACTTCCTTCACCTCATCCCTCTCCTTTGCATAGCTCTGGGCTTTTACAGCCACCTCCTCCTCCACCACCACCACCAGCCCTAGTACCAGGCTACAATGGGACATCTAACCTTTCCAGTTATAGCTACCCTCCAGCAAGTTATCCCCCTCAAAGTGCTGTTGGGCCTGGGTACAGCCCTGGTGGAGCACCACCTCCTTCAGCCTATCTACCTTCAGGTATCCCTGCCCCAACTCCTCTCCCCCCCACCACAGTACCTGGGTACACCTACCAGAGTCATGGCTTAACGCCCATTGCGCCGTCAGCCCTGACCAATAGCTCAGCAACTTCTCTCAAGAGAAAAGCTTTCTATATGGCAGGGCAAGGAGAAATGGACTCCAGCTACGGAAATTACAACTATGGCCAACAGAGATCTACACAAAGCCCCATGTACAGGATGCCTGACAACAGCATTTCCAATGCCAGCAGAGGGAATGGCTTTGACCGAAGCGCTGAATCCTCCTCCTTGGCCTTTAAGCCAACCAAACAAATCATGGCTTCCGAGCAGCAAAGGAAATTTAACCAGTCTGGTCGGGCTCTGACGCCCCCTTCCTATAGTTCTGCTAAAAATTCCCTCAGCTCCCGAGCAAGTGAGCCCTTTGGGAAATATAGCTCTCCCGTCATGAACGAACACGGCGAAGAACATAGGCAGCTTCTTCCTCATCCAATGCAAGGCCCGGGACTTCGTGGAGCTACCTCATCCAACCACTCTGTGGACGAGCAACTGAAGAACACCGATGCGCACCTCATGGATCTTGTGACCAATGAGATTATCAGCCAAGGGCCACCTGTAGACTGGAATGACATTGCTGGACTAGATTTGGTGAAGGCTGTCATTAAAGAGGAGGTTTTATGGCCAGTATTGAGGTCAGATGCATTTAACGGGCTGACTGCTCTACCTCGGAGCATCCTCTTATTTGGACCGCGGGGCACAGGCAAAACATTACTGGGGAGATGTATAGCTACCCAACTAGGTGCCACATTTTTCAAACTCACAGGTTCTGTTCTTGCCACAAAGTGGTTGGGAGAAGGAGAAAAAATTGTTCACGCTTCCTTCCTGGTGGCAAGGTGCCGACAGCCCTCGGTGATTTTTGTTAGTGACATTGATATGCTCCTTTCATCCCAAGTGAGTGAAGAGCACAGTCCGGTCTGTCGGATGAGGACCGAGTTCCTTATGCAGCTGGACACCGTGCTCACTTCCGCTGAGGACCAAATAGTAGTCATCTGCGCCACCAGTAAACCGGAAGAAATAGACGAGTCTCTTCGAAGGTACTTCATGAAACGACTCTTAATCCCACTTCCTGACAGCACAGCCAGGCACCAGATAGTAGTACAGCTGCTTTCACAGCACAATTACTGCCTCAGCGACAAGGAGGTTGCACTGCTAGTCCAGCGTACAGAAGGCTTCTCTGGACTCGACGTGGCTCATTTGTGTCAGGAAGCCGTCGTGGGGCCCCTCCATGCCATGCCAGCCACAGACCTTTCGGCCCTTATGCCCAGTCAGTTGAGGCCTGTTACGTACCAAGACTTCGACAAGGCTTTTTGCAAAATACAGCCTAGCATCTCTCCAAAGGAGCTCGACACATACGTCGAATGGAACAAAATGTTTGGCTGCAGTCAGTGACAAGCCGTCTCTCTTTTTTTAAAACAAAAACAAAAACAAACAAAAACAAAAAAACAAAAATGGTGAAACAAAACAAAAACAAAAAAAATGTAATGAATGTTGGTGCGCGCACACACATATGTACACACAAACCTGTTACCTAGGGCATGGAACCCCTTTTTCAGCGGTGTTGACATTACGGAAGGGTACAGGGGGTGGGGGTGGGGAAATGATCCCCTTGCATCTAAAGAGCCAGGTTTAGGCTTGAAGGAATAGTGCATCCGAGGAGAGAGCTGTTGATCTGCGGAGCCACAGATGATGATAGGATGTTGATGTCCCCTTCCATTCCGTTCAGACTAGACAACACACTCTCATCGTGGAGGGGTTGATTTTTTTTTTTTTTTGAAAGAAGGACATGAACCCTGTGTGTTGATTCATTCTGCTGTTTTTGAGATTTAGTTGCTTTCAAGTGCCTAAAGTGGTGCTTTATTTTTTCCTCCCTTCCTTTCCTTTTTTGTTTGCCTCACAATTACATTGGTGGCATGTGCTAATATAAAGAGCTTTAACTTCAAAATGTTATGGGACTAAAGACATGAACAGTTGTGTTGTGACAGAGAACCAGGTGTGACTTTGGTTTAGTTTCGCTTTTTTTATTTTCCCCCCCTCCCTCCTATTTTGGCTAGTCTAAAAGCAACAGTATTCCTCAATCCTGTCTGTTCTGCGGTATTAAACTAAGAACAGGTAAAACAGGGTAACGGTAATCTGGACTTTAATTTCCGCGGTTTGTTTCGTTTATTGTTCTGTCTGCAAAAAAAAAAGAAGAAAAAAAAGAAAAAAAACTCAGGAAAGTGATTGTGATTTGTACAGTACCTCAAAGGAATGTGTTGAAAGCACTATGTACTGCTGAGATTTAATAGGCTAGGCTTCAATGTTACTTTATCTTAAATATGTATGTTTACCTCAATGGTTGGGAAAAAAAATATGACAAGGAGAAATATTTTGAATGTATTAAGGAGCAAGCTGAAGCGTGCTAAAAAGATAATCTTTAAAACTTTGAAAATACAACAGGAGTATCCCAGTGTTTAAGAGGCGTTTCTTTCTTTCTTTTTAACCAATATTGGGGATCAAATTGGAGCAAGGCAGTTGTGTGTGGAAGTCCTTAGTCCCTGACAATTTTGTGACAAGTCGGTAGAGAGTGCACAGACAATAAAAAAGCAAAAGTCCCCCCTGTCGAATTATCAAATCATCTGGGACAGTCAGAGATGAAATCTGATTAGGACTCTGAGAGGCAAATTACCTTAGACCAGTGTTTCTCAACCTTGGCAACTTGAAGATGTCCGGACTTCAACTCCCAGAATTCCCCAGCCAGCAAATGCTGGCTGGGGAATTCTGGGAGTTGAAGTCTGGACATCTTCAAGTTGCCAAGGTTGAGAAACACTGCCTTAGACCACAAGATTCAACTTCTGTACCTCAGCTAGGGTTATAGGCATCTTGATTGCCCCATTGGATCAGTATCCCAGAATCCTTGTAGGTCACAGAGAGCTTAGGGGGCTGCAGAGCTGTGTACAGCAATGCAGCAGAGAGCAACCAAACCAAACAAAACAACAACAAAAAAAGAGACAAAATTGAACCCTCAAATGGCATCTCTCTTCCTCTTTGCTTTGCATTTTCACCACCAAATGAAAAGTTATCCCTTTGTTTTATGTGTGCTGTTGTTGCCTCTCTCTGTTTTCTTGATGCCTTTTCTTTGTTTTGTTTTTAATGTGATTGTTCCATGGTCATTAGAAGTTCGCCCAGCTGGAAAATGCCCACCATTTTATTTCTACCTCAGATTTTGTTTTATTTCCCTTAGAGAGGCACATAAAGAACAGGACAAGCCAGATTACCACTAGCATGCAGAGCTGTGGAAGGTCCTAGTAACACATAATCCTAAACAGGCTTCTTTGGAAAGAACCAGCTTTGTGTAGGGTGAGGTTTTCTCCCAAGTAAATGTGTGTGTGTGTGTGTGTGTGGAGAATTGCAGTCAAATAGAAAAGAGACTTGGCAAGGGGATCCTTCTGCCTCTTCTCCCTTTGCCCGACCAGGGGAAATGGTGACTGTTTTCCTTCAGGAAAGAGAAGCTAGATAGGATGTGTGGCATTTTACTCTATTTGTGCCCCTGCTCCACATTGTCTCCCTTTTTTTATTCCTTAATGCTTTTATGAGCAATTCTTTTCATGACAGCTGACTGATGCTGTAATGTCGCTGAACAGTAGAGCAATTCAAACCTTCGCAGCCACACGAGCAGAGAGCAACCTCTCTCTCTCTCCCACTCCCTCCCTTTCTCTTTCCCTCTCTGGTTTTTTTCCCCCATGTAATCTTTTGTTTACTTTAAAGAAACGGCAGCAGAACAATTAGAAATTATTGGCATTTAATGTTACTTTTATGTAATGTACCTTCAAATCCATGAAATAAATGCACTGAAGAGCTCTAATGAGAAAAAGACCAATTAGTCACCTACTTATTTTGTCTTTAAAGCTACTGCCCAATTATTACACTTGGCGTTTCTTCAGCTAAAATGCTAATTTTCACGGCTAAAAACTGAGCAAATAAACCAAAATGCACATTCTAGAAGTCCTTTTGTTCATTCTAAACTTATGGGTTGCATCTAAAAGGCAGAGGAGTTCATTAAAAAGTAAAACAGTGCCTTTCACTAAGGATATAGTAAAATAAGTCTTAATAAATGCTTTGCATTTTCAATTAGCAAAGGTTTTTCTTTTTCCGTTTTTTTCTCTCTCCCATCTATTTCTTCCATTGTATCTTTTCCATTTGGGGAGAGCCACAATCTCCTTCGCCAGATTCATATTGATTTTGCAGATGGCTTTCTGATGCATATTGCTGACCAATCTTCTGACTTTTAGATATCACATTATGCTATTGTGCTGCCATCCATTTGAAAGGTTCAAACATGCTTTGAAAAACTAAATTTACAATTGCATCACCTCTGTCTACACATCCTTTAAAACTAAAATTATCTAATTTTAAGGTGACACCAAATACATTCATGTATATAGCTACAATATAATAATCCCAGTAGCACTTCAGTTTAAGTTGGCTTTGGAATCAGCAGTTGCTCAGCTTAGCTCACATTTTCCACTGTGTACTTGAGAAAAAAGCAAATGATTCTTCCAGTGAGCCTCATAAATAAAAGACTTAATTGTGAGGTTAAGAAACTTCAAAGAGTTTATCCTCTCCCAAATGCTTTGAATTTTATATTGTGGATTCGCTGCTGAAAATATCGGGCCATTTTCTCCCAAATGGTAATTAACTACAACTAGTGAGATGTAATGTTTTACCTGACATGAAAATAATAGTGTTGTTTATTGTACAGCTCTTATACAAAATTAAGGCAAGCTATAGCCCGCTCTCGGCTCTCTGCCAATGGAGATCCCCTGTTAAATAGAATCAGTCAGACTTTGCCTGGTTCACTCAGAACCCACTGGTTCAACCCTGAGCTACAAATACTATCCTCTTTTTTTTGCCATTGGGGTGTTGTTGAGATATTTTTTTTTTTGCACTTTTTAGACAAATAAGACCATTTGTTCCTTCTGCTGCTACATTTAGGCCTGTATGGAATTGCAACCATACACATTTCATTGCGATCAAAACTCCTTCTAAGAATTTCCTTTCTGGGTTATTTGGATGTTCCACCAATGAGAAGAGTAGCTTTTGATAGGGAGTTTGAGATGGCCGAAATATACTAATATTCTGAAGAAGTAAAATGGTTCTGCCCTGTCTTTCATTTAATTGGGACTCAGGATTCTGTCTGAGTAGAGCATAAAATGATGAGGTTGTATGGACAGATTCCACACGATGCAGATCTTCTAAATTTTTAATAAAAGGGAGAATATCAATTGTTATGCCTTTTCCACCATTACATCTTTATGATGGCTAAAATTCCATCAGCTCAATTCTCCTTTCACTGCAAGACGTAATAATTCAAGGCATATAGCTTGGCTTCATTGTTGGTTGGAAAATTCTAGGCATAATTGAATGCTTCCCTTTCTACTTGAGACAATTTTTTATTAGGTAAGACTTTATTCTCATTCCTCCCTCCCTCCCTCTCCCCCCCCCCTTTTCTTCTGTAGTAACATGAACAATTGTAATAACAAAAGAAAAAGCAAGGGACTGGTTTCTGCCAACCAAATTAACAGTGCCAACTGAAATCAGGGCACGGTAACCTTTTCTATATATTTATAAAGAAATCCTCACTTCTAGCATGCTTCTCTCCAAAATATTTAGGCCATTAAGGATAGTAGTGAAAAATTTGCTGACTGAGCTGATCAATGGAATGTGAAGGCAGTTTGGGGCTATTTACTTTTTATTTATTTTTTTACAAAATATTTCTGTATTAGTCAATTTGTATTCTATTCAAATGTAGATAGATGGGCAAAATGGTTTTCCTTGTGCATTTCAAACCCATCAAGGAGAAAATAAAACCTCCCAGTAAAACACATAGGCAAAGCACCATCTGGGAAAGCTAGCTCATCTGTCCAGGGGCTATGCTCTGCAAAATAGTACAAGGTCATTTTATATGGGTTAGCATAATACTTTGCTAGGCAATTTTCAAAAGGAGATAATCTAGTGTAAAAACCCCAATTAATTCCAACAGATGTTGGTAGATGGTAATGTGTTTACATGTCAAAAGCTGCAAATAAAGGTTTCTACTGCCTGAAATTGTGTGCAACTTTGAGTAGAGGAACAGTTATAAGTTCCATAATATGTTTCATTCTAATCTAAAAATATAAAGCATCTTTTAGAAAGTCAAATCTCAGAAATACATGCTAGAATTGAGTAAATTTTGCAGAAACGGATCTGTGCAAGTCTATTTGTTTTGGTGGAACTATCCCTGTGTACCTAACCTCTCAAAGTTTAAGCTTCCTTCCTTAGGCGGGTCATGTGCACAGGTTCCATTGATGTGATTGCCTAAGATTCCCCTGTCTATGGACATTCTCAGTCATCCAGGTCATGGTTATATCTCAAAGGTTATTTTTCAAGAGGCAACTGGACTTCTTCTTGAAGATGTTTCGCTTCTCATCCAAGAAGTTCCATCAGTTCCGGCAGGATAGTGGGGGATGATGTATTGTCTTCATGTTTATAACTTGTTTGTCCTTCCCTCCCCCTGAATTGTGAGCCGCCCTGAGTCACCTCAGGGAAAAGGGCGGCATACAAATAAAGTAAAGTAAAGTAAATGAAATGAAATGAAATGAAATGGATGGAAGGATCCTTCCTCTCCTCTCGCCATCCTGCCAGAACCAATGAAGCTTCTTGGATGAGAAGCAAAATGTTTACCAGGAAAAATGAAAGTCCAAGTGCTCTCTGAAAAAACACCTTTGAGACTAAGAGTCCCTTGTGCATCTCCCATTCATTTCCCCCCAAAAACCCAAGGATATAACTGTGGATAGATGGCCATAAAGAACAACATGAGATCTCTCACAGCTGTAACACCCTTTCATCTTGTTATGCGTGCATGTGTTTATATAATATTTATATGGACATACACACATAATATGAAGCCGTTTTTGTTTTCTCTTTCAAGGAAAAGATGAAAGCTTCCTTTTCCTTAATCATTTGCAGATTTATACTCAAAGCACATTGGTAAACACGGAGCTAGTAATATTCCTAGACCCAAAGACACTGCTGCCCTGGGGACTAGTCAGTCCATGAACTGACCCCTTCCCCTTTGCAAAGATCTTTGGTTGACATTCGATTTTGAACCTGCCAGAAACGGTTTTTTTGTCAACCAGGGATACTGGTATCTTTAATGAACAAGCTTCTATTCTTTTCCCTATTTTTCAAGGCAACACAAGAACTGTAGCACCAGGCACCGCCATTGTCAAAGACAATTAGACTGAAAGCAGAAAAATTTCACCTCCCTGTCTCAGTGATACATAAAATGTCGGCAGTGTGGGTCAGCCTTGCAACCGAATTTTGTGAGAGTATATGAATCAGTCCTATAGAATGTTAAATATTTATAAGATGGTTCTGTTCTCCACTAAAGGTTGGGAATGTAGTCTATTCCTTCTTGTGGGTCTCACGATACACAAAGAGGAGGAGATATTTCCCAACCAAAACTTTGCTTGTGTACATCTTTCCTCGCCCCCAAATGGTTCCTGTGGCTTACATGCAGTCCCAAGTAGTTTTGTTTGTCTCCATAGATTCCCACCACCACATTTGGGTGTGTGTGTGTGCGTGTGTGTTCAGACATTGTTCTTTGAAACCATTTCTAC